GTACGCTCCTGGAGTTATCGCTAATAGCAGGCGGTAGAGAAAAATGGCGGATCGGGTTGTTTGGAAAGACTCCACATCAGTGTTTCCCCTACCATTATACAAGCGGGATGCTCCACCCCGTCAACAGAACTGAGCACCCTGCCTACCAAACCAAATTGCACCCACACCCACCCACCCAGCACTGATAAAGCACTAAGCTAGTGGCACGAAATACAGGCTCTCTAGCTAAAAAGCTAAAGGCAGCACTCACGTTACCTTTTCCCTCATGCTGAACGCCCCCCGCCCCCACTCAAAAACTGTTAGCACAATCTGCGCTCAGACATGTCCGTCCCCCCGTCATCAAAAATCATGGATGAGATGAGCACCCCGCCATGGCAAGTTAACTAGGGGAAACACTGCACAGACTCCTCCCCCCGACCAATCAGTGACCGACAGTGTTTCTGATGTCACGGCTCGGCTCGCTTGGACCCCTTGAGAAGCTGGGCCAGAATTTAGGGAGGCGAGCCGGTCCCAAGAACCATGGAAAAGACCTCAAACACGCGTCAAGCCGGAAATATCCAACCCACGCCGTGACAGTGGAAAAGGGGCATTAATCTCTTGAACTCCATGCCCTCTGTACTTGGGACAGAATTGAATTTCCTGTTTTGTACTTCAGCTAACTCAAGGTCTGCTATCTAAACATAGATATGTGTGGGACATAGGCATCACAGTAACTATGATATTTAAAAAATATTTATATACATGTTTCCCCGAGGTCACTCACGGAGCTCGTCTTCAGGTTTTTTTTTGTTGACGGGGGTAGGGGGGAAGAGGGAGAGACACTTCTGTGTTGTGCGACTACGTTATTGTCTGCAGTTGTCAACCGGGGGGGGGGGGGGGGGAGAGATTCGTGTTAGGTAAGTGGAGTGCTACCTCTGTAGCATCTTAGCCAGCGTATTTGTATTGCGCACCGCTAGCTTTGTGTCTGTAAATGACAGAAGGCAGTACATTTTTGGAAGATTTGTCTAATCTGAGAAGGAACTTTGTTTTTGTCCTAAGATTTGAAAAGTTCACCTGATGGTGTCATAAAGAACACCTTGAAGGAGAAGTATTATGTTGGGTAGAAAGAACTCAAGTAACACAAGTTTTCTGGGAAGTAAAATTGGTAAAATCGGTGATGGGGAAGGAAAACAATGGGAGAAGAGAGATGGATGTTATTCCAAGTTGATTGTGAAGGGGAATAAAAGTTATGAACTGTAGAATTTGTGAGCGGCACCAAGGTAGGAATGTACCTGTAAATCTTTTCGTTTTAATAATCACATGCAAGTTGACATGTTTTTTATTGTGTGTGACTATTGCTTGGCACAGTGTAATTTTGTGTTGTGAAGGCTGCATGACGCCATGATTTTGTCATGTTCAGATCGACTTGAAAATAATCTGATATGGGTCACATGGGGAAAAAAAAATCGTATTTCGTCTGCATTTGCCTGCAGTATAAACATAGCCTAAGTTCTGAGCGTTTCCTGTAACTGAAAAATCTCTTTCAATTTCAGGACATACTCACAGAAAACTCAGGGAATTATTTTTTCTTGAAATGTTGGGTATGATTGTGCAGCTACCCATCCAGGCTGTCACATTGTAAAGTTTGCAGATGATACAGTGGTGGTTGGATGCATCACAACCAACTATGAGTCTAGCTACAGACAGGAGGTGGAACACCTGGAGAGCTGGTGCATAGTTAATAACCTTCACATCAATGTGAAGAAGACAAAGGAGATGATCATGGCCTTCAGAAAGAACAAACACAACTACCCTGGATCTGCGGTGGAAGTGGTCTCCAGTTACAACAAGTACTTGAGTGTACACCTGAATGACAACCTCAGCTAGAGCAACAACACCACCAGCCTGATCAAGAAAGCTCATCAGAGACTCTGCTTCCTCAGGCAGCTGAGACGAGCTGGTCTGGGAAGCTCAGTCCTCACCTCCTTCTACAGTTGTGCAGTGGAGAGCATCCTGTGCTCTCTGTGATCTGTTTCATGTTGCTGTGTTCATGCGTGCTCATCTGCTCACACAGACTCATGTTTGTGCTGCTGTTCGACGTAATGTTTTTATGCTACTAGTGCTTAGTGTATTTTTCGTTTATGTTTTTCTTATACATTTTATTGTTGGATGTAACTGGGACCCTGCTTACATAATCTCGTTCCACCACATGAGATGCAAACACCAATAAAGAATCTCTGATTGAATGAAAAGCAAAAGAAGAGCAGAATTAATTCATTCAGCCTTTATTTATACAGGTTAGTCTCATTGAGCCCTGAGAACTCATTTACGAGTGAGACCTGTTTTAAACAAAGAATGATAACAGTAGACAATCATAAAATAAAGCATATAAATTGAAAAATTAAATGGAAGAAAAACTATATTTAAAAAATGAAACAAAAACATCTACATTATAAAGTGAAAATATTATTACTATAGAATTATCACTCACATTTGCAAAGCATTATATAAAAATCGCTTATCTTTGTCATGCTGCCTCTGGAGCTTATTCCTACCAGAATAAATCTGTATTTACTAAGCAACTACATCTGCCAAAATATTCTCCTGTCCAAATTAACCCCTCCTGACCAGAATATGAGTCGGGTTTTTTTCATTCAGCCTTTATTTAGACCAGTAAATCCCATTGAGCCTCAAGGACTCATTTACAAGACAGACCTGATTGTTGTTGATTGGATGAAGGTGAATGTCACAGTCTGCATCACATCTGTCCCCTTATAGTTGGTGATTGGTAGGACTGGTATGATCTTGAAGAAGTTAGATTCTACTGGATCAAAGGATTTGTACCAAGGGTGATTTGTGTATTTTGGTCGATCCAAACTAATTATAGTGCTACATAAAGCTGGTGAACACACAAGAGGCTAAAGTAGCTACACAAGCCTCATGACTTGTAAGAGCAGAGCTGTTAGGAGTTTGGGGGATTAATGGCATAAAATAAAAGTTTATAAAGCAAAACCAGCATTTGAGATAATTCATAAAAACTAGGAGTGTGAAAAGCTTTCTGTGTTGTAACGTCTCTTGGTGTTTTGCTTCAGAAAATAAGAGCACCAGTTAGTGCCATAAAAATAAAATAATGCAAATATGTTTCTGTTGTGAATGTCTTGACAGATTTGAGTAAAATGTGAGTGATTGTGAGTGCTGGTTGAGTGACTCTTGGTTGAATCGTGATGAAACGTACAGTTTTGAAATCTGTGAGATCTGTGGTTTCAGCCGACGTGCTGCTTGTGGTCAGAGAATAGAGTGAGATGGAGGACGACTCGCTGTAGTGACCTCTGAAAAGGGAGCAGCCGAAAAATCAAGATATTCAGGGTTTGGATACTAGCAGCTACTACGAGCTTCCTTCATAACTTGGCCAGGCTCAGCCTTAGTAATAAGATGAACAGTTCCATCATCGAGGCATCTGATCATGACTTCCTGTATAAGTTTCTGGGCACGTCCCACTGGGAAGAGACCCAGGGCAGACCCACATCTCACTGAAGGGATTGTGTTTCCCCTCTGTCTTGAAAACACCTTGGGATCCCTCAGGAGGTGCTGGAGAGCGTCTCTGGGGAAGGAGGTGTTTAGATTTCACTCCTGGACCTGTTGCCTCCATGGATAAGTGGTAGAATATTAATGGGTTGATTAATTCAATTAAATTCAAACATACTTTATTAATCCCAAAGGAAAATTATTTGTTGTTGTAACTCGTTATCCTCATTTCATTAAGAGATGTTATAGATACTGATGGCTGTAGGCAGGAAGGATCTCTTGTAAAGGTCCATTCCACAGTGGATCCTAAGAAACTGGCTGCAGATGCCATCCGATCCGTTCACCCAGACTTGACTGGCCTCTCGTTTCCCCCGGGCTGTAGGACCACCTAAATGCCGGGCAGAACTCCTCCCAGAGCGATGGCTACTCCTCCCAGCAGTCTGCTGAGCTTCTCGTCGCTGCGGACAGCCAACTGTAGGTGCCGAGGGACGATCCTGTCCTTCCACTGTCACGAGCCGTGTTTCCTGTTAGTTCCAGGATCTCAGTGGTCAGGCACTCGAGCACAGCCGGCAGGTAGATGAGAATGCGTACACAGAACATCCCTTCAACTCATTTGAGATTTGAGGCTGTAGTTGAGATATTATTTGAGCTTTTGAGATGTTAATCAGCTGTTCCTGGTTGTAGAAACTGCCTCGTTGCCATGGTTACGCATCATAACAAATGTCCAAAACTAAAAAAGTTTCAGTAAAAATCCTTCCAGCTGCACAGCATCTGATACCAGAGGAAACAGTCATCCAAAAACTGTGATTTACATCCAGAAAAAGAGGAATTAAATTTCCAAAAGCAAAATCTCAGAATGAAAGTAACAGAGCTGCTCCAACATGCATCCACCTTGAGCAGCGCAATTCTATAACTGCTAATTATGCCGATGCAGATCTTTTGAAATCAGTGCATCAATAGCCAATATGCAACACCATTTTTTTCTGGGCATAATGGATTTACTGTTGAATAAAAATATAATTATTAACCTTAAATGATTAACTTTGTAAGAGTTTCCACACCATATGTTGAAGCTTAAAAAAAACTAAATTGTAGGCTGCAGTGAGCTGATTGTAGCAAAGAAGAATCCTCTGTAAAAAAAAAAAACGTTTTTCTTTTAATTGCTTTTCACTTTTTTTTTTTTTTGTAAGCACCTTACAGACAGTCCATGGAGCTTACTTGATGTTTTTTCTACATTACAAACGTTTTCGTCGAACAGTGCTGAGTGACTCAGCGGCTTGTCTGTGGTGCATTTACTGACAAGGGAAAAATCAGATTTCTCAGACAAGCTAGATATTTGTGGGTGCCAAGGACAAGCTGATCCTGTGCTGCATTTCTACGGTTTAGGCATATCAAAAAATTTAAATGTGAAGATAAAGTTGAAATTAATTTATTTTTAATTAATTAATTAATTTTTAATTAATTTATTTTTAATTAATTAATGGATTTATTTTCAGGTAGGGTGACTGCGCTACATCTGCTTCAGACAGAGTGTATTGAAGACTGGGGGTTTGGAGGGACCACATACAGGTAACTAATTTATCTTTTCCCAATCAAGTTCAAACCTGCATCAAAGTTTTAAATGTGTGACAGTGCTAAAATTATGTGGGTGGCAGTTAGTGTAATCAAATAATGTCTGTGTCCACTTCACACGTGACCAATTCACTGCAGCTAGGGTATACGCCAAAGCCATTACAAACCCAACTCATCCCCCTCACCCTCAAGGCCAGGAACTTAAGAGAAAACATTATATAAAAAAACTGAGCAGAAATATAAAAAAACAAGAAGAATTGTTAAGTTAAAAATAAATTGAAATCAACTACAGTAGTCCCTCACTTATCATAGGGGTTATGTTCCAGACACTCCCGCGATAGGTGAAAATCCACAAAGTAGGGATGTTGTATTTATTTTAGTATTTATATATATTAAGTAGGGATGCACAATATTATCAGCATGGTATTGGTATTGGCCGATATTAATGTTAAATTTCAATATTGGACATCGGCCATTCCATTAAAATAACTTGCCAGTATAAAAGGCGCTGTTTTTGCCTGCAGCGGCAGCACAACTTGATGACGTTGCAGAGGCAGTGCAACATGATGACGTCACGTGTGCCTACCCGATCTCATGGCGGAGAGGAAATTTCTAAATTTCGTCTTTGTGGAAGTTTCATTTTTTGTTGGTGAGGATGTCGGATTCCGAAGATTTATGGACTACGTTGAGCCTTGCTACATCGTCCGCAGTCTTGAGAAATTTTTCGGAAGTAACGTTACCCTAGTTACAAGCTGTCATTTCCAACGTCATTGAGAAGCTAATAGCCGATAGCACAAGTTGTTGGGTGAGTTTTACCACAGACATTTGGATGTTGTGTTAGTTCCGTTAGCATGAATAGTCTTACGACACAATGGATCGACAAAAACTTTGAACTTAAAAAGGCTGTCCTTCATGCACAAGAGTGCAGAGTATCCCACACTACAGCTAGGAACCTGGAACAAGCCTCCACAAGTGAGAGAGCATTGCAGGTGACTAATGCTAATAAATAACATTTAACACTTTTCATTTAATGTAAGTCAAAGTGTTATGCATATCATATGGCTGTTACTGAATATATGTCACCAGCTCTTACAGCTGTTGCACAATTTTTGTAGCAAATAATCCTAAATAAGAGGGCTATGTTCTGACAAAGGAACATATATAAAATATCGGTATCGGCATTGGTTATCGACCAAATAAGTTTTAACATATTGGCATATTGGATATCGGCCAGAAATCCAATATCATGCATCCCTAATATTAAGACTTCATAAACCGTTCCCACACTCTTGCAATGTTCTTATCTATGTTCTAAACTCTCTAAAAGCTCTAAGAAAGCACAGCGTGTCATGATCTCCACCTGCCACGTCCACTTCTCTGCAACAGTCACTCATGCTCATCACCTGTGTCCCTCCCAATAGAGCTTTGGAACATACGTCACTGCGTTAGGGGCGGGGTGTTCCCGTCTCGACCGCCATGTTTACAGCCCTCAGAAAAAAATTTAAAAACTCAGGTGATTTTCCATCGTTTTCACACTGTATCTTCCATCACGATGCCGAAAAGCAGCGCAAAACAAAGTGGACTGTAACGTGACAAACTTCAACCGGATGCCAAAAAATGGTACATGGAAAAAATAGGCGGGCAGCACGGTGGCGCAACTAGTAGAGCTGCTGCCTCTCAGCAAGCAGGTCCTTGGTTCAAACCCCGGTCCAGGGGCCTTCTGGGTGGAGTTTGCATGTTCTCTCCGTGCATGCGTGGGTTTTCTCCGGGTACTCCAGTTTCCTCCCACAGACCAAAAACATGCATGTTAGGCTGACTGGTAACTCTAAAATGTCCCTAGGTGTGAGTGAGAGAGTGAATGGTTGTTTGTCTCGTTTGTCTCTATGTGGCCCTGTGATAGACTTGTGACCCGTCCAGGGTGTACCCCGCACCTCGCACAGTGATTGCTGGACATGGGCACCGGCGACCCCCGTGACCCAAAATGGAATAAGCTGGTAAAGATGGATGGATGGAGAAAAAATAGTCAAAATTTGAAATGTCGACCTGTTTGTTTTAAAAAAATTGGAGCAGAGACCTGGAATATTTTCCTCCACTGACTTTCCCAGACATTTTATCATATCTGGTCTGTGGTGTCAGTACCTACACAGCAAATAATTTTAAGAACTATAAGTCACTGGAAGCACATGTCCAATTTATGAATGGTTGCGTGCATGATTTGGACATTTTCAACACCCCGGATTGTGAATATGTTATGGTTCGAACAAAGGTACGTTGTTCTTGGCTCTTTAATTTTACATAAATCATTAATGTACATTTTTTTTTACAATCATTCAACCTGCTGTATGCTATGAGTATTGAAAAGTGTGAACACATACACTATGTTTTTAACTGATATATGAAACTACTAGTTGGTAACTAAATGGCAATTACCGGTACACCTAATTTTTACTACCTTGAGTTGTTTAATAACATAATTATAGAGACTTAAAAA